GACAATCCAATGATTTCAATAAAATTTGAAAGTCATGAAATAATAAACAATAAACAGATGCAGTCACAACAGAGTCAACTCTGTTTATTTGCAGCGTTTTCCCCCTTCAATCTAAGAGTTTTTGAAATGACTTAAAACATTATACACTCTTGTTCAACTTTGTATCACGATTTTATATGATTCTTATGTCTTTTGTCTGTATATTACTCCATTCCTTTCAGTTTCAGTTACAGTTTAGTGTATTTATTATTTCACATTCACATTCAGTACATAAACCATAAGCAATAAACAATAGGAATTCGAAACAAATTCAATATGTGTACAAAAAAAAATACAATGATATCGAGCCATGAAAGTAATAATACAATCAAAACAGCATACGGAGATAAATACAACTGCATGTTATTTAAACTGAGAATAGACAAAGATATATTTGTAGGGAAATGTGGAGGAATCTAGTAAAAAAACAAACTGTAGAAACCTTGCAAACTTGAATAAGAGCAGTCTATTGAGCATGTAGATTATATTACTTAACAAAATTTTAAAAACAAATAAAATTAAACGAGTGGTGAAAAATAAAACAACGGAGTAATATTTTTGAAAAGCAGTATGTTTCCTGACAAATGTATGCATGAAGGCAATGTAGCATGTACCAGACAGGGCGGTGACAAACTTCTCAAGGCCCAGTATGTTCAGTTCTCATTAGCCCTATCTGTAAGTTTCCCATTGCAAAATAGCATGATTTAATAAATGATTAGATATTGGACTCCAATTATATTTTCATTAATTGTACGGAATATGAACCAGGGGCGGATCCAGGGGGCCTGGCCGACCTTTCTCTCTTTCTCTCTCTCTCTCTCTCTCCCTCTCTCTCTCTCTCTCTCTTTCTCTTTCTCTCTCCCAGTCTCTCTCTTTCTCTCACTCTCTCTCTCTCTCTCTCTCTAACTCTCTGCCTACCTTCGTTCCTTATATTTTCTCCGTCTCCCCAGCATGTATACTCTGACATGAATTAGTTATTTCCAACAATTTTAATTCAGAGCAATAAATAATTCAATGCCATGCTATTCTCATCAGACCTATCTGTGCCAACTGAATGAAAGCATACTATCTGACCTTCGCATTTCAAGATTTTTTAATGATATATATTTCGGTATTTAACTAAAAATATTTCAATAAGTGCACTAATATCGTTCGCCCTTGTAATTCAAAATTAAAAGAAGCCAATTTCTCTCTCTCTCTCTCTCTCTCTCTTTCTTTCTTTCCCTCTCTCTCTATCTTTCTTTCTTTCTCTCTCTCTCTATCTTTCTTTCTTTCTCTCTCTCTCTCTCTCTCTCTCTATCTCTCTACCTCACTGGTTTTCTTCCCTCTTGTTATTCTCTCTATCTCCTCATCATGGTATACTCTGACATGAATCAATTCTTTTCAATTTATTTTTAATTCAGTGAAACCATATATGTGCCAACTGGATGAAATCATATTATCTGACTTTCGCATTTAAACAGTTTTTAATGATATATGTTTCGGTACTTAATTTGAAATATTTTAATAAGTGCACTAATATCGATCACCCTTGCAATTCAAAATTTTTCTACCATGACTCCCTTTCAAGAATCCCCTTTTCTAATTTTTCTTTCAGTTCAATCAACTCAATCACAGAAGTTTATGAACTGTGTAAAAAATACATGAAAACCTAACAACCTTCCTCCATTTAACAGTAAGACAAATAAAAATATACGTATTAGAACATTGGCGTTCTATGGACACGACGAAATAAAGCACATTTACATACGTGATCATTCTAATTAAGGCATAAACTCGTCTCCTTTTGTGAGTACAAAATACAAATATCAATAGCATAATATTTGTAGGTGCATGGGAGTGAACAAAAAATACATCAAATGATTTAGTGAATAAAATATAGCCCCTTTGATCCACTTATGAATTTATTCTCTTTTCCGTGCCGTATATGTAATTGAAAGTAGTCTTTAATACCTTGATGATTTATCAGGTAATCAAATATTCTCTACAAGATTTTGGAGGAAAAATTGTATCCGTCCATTAGGCAGTACAACTACTACTAAAATATATATACAAAAGAGCTTTTATCATCAATAATTCATATCTATTTCTTTTTTGCTATTATTGTGATGGAAATATTGTTAATATTCGAACCGTCCTTAGCTTCCAGGTTATGTATAAAGGACTTAACGGTGCTCTTTAGTGCCTGCATCCATATAGGCGTAGTCTAGTTTTTAAAAAATATAGAAAAGGGTCACCCACAGGACTTTGGGGGCATAACCTTAAACCTACCCTTACCCCTATTCCAGTCTAACTATGTGACTTATTCAGTGGTTTTTTGTGTCACCCCTCCCCACCCAACCCCCCCCCCCCCCCCCCCCCCCCCCACACCCAACGTTTAACATGTCTGGATACGTCAGTGGTTGCATCGTTTGTTTTCGCATCTGGAGTCTCATTAAGATTAAATACGAGTCCTGTTAATGGGAGCGTAAATTATTATTGCAATTGTTAACGAGGCATTAGATAGCAATCCTCGTGATTTGCTCCGAGCAATTAAATCTGATGCTCTATTTATAACAAAAAGGCCTAGAAACATGATGAAATAATTCTCTAAGAAAAGCTCAGTTTGATACGTTAGTTGGTCTTGTAGCTTGCCTACAAAGCGACCCAGGTTTGAAACTGAATATTGGTCTTTTCGGATGTTGATGATTTAAATGATTCCATATAGATGTAAGGAATCTGAAATAATACGTGTTGCACACGTTGCGTCTTTTTTGGTGACGTAGCAGTGCGTCAATGACTAGCGCGGGCTTTGACGCATCATGCGACTGTGATATGTTTAACAAGCTTTTCTTCTTTCACAGTACATGTATGTTGCATAACGGATATTTAAATTCAATGTTACCGTAATGAGTATGCATATCGTGTAAACCAGTTATAGTTGACATGTCATCGTTATTCAATTTGTATTAACCGAGGCATTAAACTGACCTACACAATCGTTTTCTTACAACGCAACAAAAACCTCTCATGTAGTAAGACTGTTTTATGTCTCATCATTTAACTAGAAGAAGCCGCATATCAGTCGTTCCTTATCTCTCTCTCTCTCTCTCTCTCTATCTCTCTTCTCTGTTACCTGAACCAATTCGTTTTTTCCTTCACTTTTTTTTCTTTTTTTGCCATTGAATTCCTGTTGTTTTTGCCTCTTTATATCATCATATTTTGTTGTCGCTGTAATCATAATTTAAAGAGCTACATGCACTTCAAGCACAAGCATGCGCTGCAGCTCTTCTCCATTTGCTATGTCAATCGTTCCCAACATGTTGTTGTATACATTTTATTATTCATTGTGATTTGGAGAAAAAATTCCCCTAAATGTACACAATGTTCATTTTGTTACCGATTATTATTGTATGAAAAATGCAGAAATCAATAAATCAATAAATGAATAAAAAACAAGATGAATGCAAAGCGATCTGGGGCAAACGTTGCCTTGAATCATTGTAGCATGTATTAATCACTTCCACATGCTCTATCATCGTAGGTATAATAACACAATCGATATGACGACTCGTTTGCAAAGGGTTCAGTAGTGCACGTTTAAAAAGACACACGCACACCCAGATTTTATTTGTATTTTACTATTAAAACCAAATTTGCATCATTTGTCGAGTGATTATTATTATTTTTCTAATTAACTAATAATTAATCAGTTTATTCATTTACTTTATGCTTTGGGGTGATTGATTGATTTTTTTCATTAATTTATCTATTCATTCATTCTATGTTCTTTACACATGGTAGTCTCTTCAGAACTAAAATCTCTATGAAAGTTACGAAGTGACTGAGCATATTTTTTATAAGAGTATTTACAGTATTTTATGAGATGATATCGTCCCAGTATGTTGAAATGATAAATCTTTTAAATTCTAAATAAAATAACCTATGCAAAGACATGCACATCAATAATTAAATGACAACAAATGAAGAACAGCGAACAATAGATACAAGTATTCAATACATTCAAATTCGACTATCATGCTGGCTACTGATGGAATCAACTATAAATGTATGAACACCACCACTAACATAATGTATCGCTATAATCATAACCCTAGCACCTTGAACAACTTCAACAATAGCAACATGATTCATACAGGGCCGTCGCTAAACCATTCTGATGGGAGGGGGGGGGGTATCTACGAAGTCGCTGGACATTTTCTAACACGTAAAATAGAGATAGCTCATAAGATCTTAAGATTTGGCGAAAGGTAAAAACATTGTCAGATTTCAAAATTTGCAGACAGATTCTAAGATTGTCACTAACAAGCATAGACTTACCAACCAAACTTCGCGGACGGTCAATGTGTCATAAACTGCCCAAAGCTGCCCAAATTAGGGCACCATTGATGGCACGATGAACAAAATAATAATTGGCTTGAGACACAATTTCATTTGAAATCGCTTTGAAATTATCCGTGTATTGACAACGAATTTATGTCAGACGATCTGTTTTACTTTTCCTATATTACCTATATCATATCAGTACTGTTGAACATATTAAATGAACACCATCGCAACTACCTTCGAAAAAATCAACCTAAGGTGATTTCAATGGCTTTGTACGTCACCTTTTGACATGTGTTAACATGACAATGACCTATTACGTAATCTGAACATGATTTCCGTCGGTCATACATTGGGGTACTGATATTGCCTTTCTTGTTTTATGAAGTGTTTTATTTCTCCAAAAAGAAGTAGTTAAAATCAAAACAAAGTAAATACAAATTATATTATTCAGAATCAGTTACAAGTCAAAACTAAATTCGTACATTTTCTTTTTCATCCAAAATATATAGTATACAGATGAACAATATATACATATTTAGCATTTTTTAACTATTTTTAAAAATCAAGCAATGCTTCGTGCATAAAATAATAATACTCTTTGAATGAAACATAGTACTACCCCTGAAGACAGATTTTTATTTCCCCCCCCCCAACAAAATGAGTTAAATTTATTTTCGGAAGTCTTTGCAATTGTGCTAATTGATCATTTTGAGCAGCTTAAACCTGAGATTGGTCATTGGTTGGTACATCTGTAGCGCCTGTATTCATTTCCTTGCTGTCATCATCGTCTTCAAAGCCTGCAAAGACTGACTGTCCACTAGGTGTGCAGACGCCTTTAAAGAGATCTCCAAGGGCTTTCCTGAACCTCAGGTTCCTAGAGGCGTAGATGATAGGATTGAGGCAAGAGTTTGCAAAGGCTAGGACAACGAAGGCGCGGTAGAGTGGACTAAAGAGATGGGTGAAGTCAACGACGCCGAGGTTGAACACCAGAAAGCCGAACTGATCAGGAGTCCAGCAGATAATGAAGGTGATAACAACGATAAAGAGCATTTGGAGGACGCGATGTCGTGCCTTCATCAGCTTCAGCGCGTGCTTCTGTCGCTCCTGGCCGACGGTCACCGGGCTCGCGCGCTGGCGAAGGCTGTGGATCGTCAACGCGTGTGCGGTCAGCATGATGATGACGGGGATGACGTATTCCACAAGAAATAACGTCACACCGATGATCTTTTGGAACAGCGCCGTGGGGAATATGGTAACGCACGTCCCGTCCTGGACGAAGTGGATGTATAAACTGTACGAGTTGATGGCGACGGCAACGAGCCAGATGACGACGATTACGAGGACGCTGCGTCGCGGTGTAAACATGCGCTGAAATGTGAACGGATACCGTATCGCAAGCAGCCTCTCAACCGAGATCGTCGTCAGGGTGAAAATGGACGCGCAGATTGATATCCACATGATCACGGATGAATGGATAATCCGGCAGTAGACCTGGCCTGTCGGCGTATCCGGGAGCGTCGTCGCGCGCGGATGCGGTAGGATTGAGATCGACGTCGTGAAGTCGGCGGCGGCCAGGGCGGCGATCAGGGTGTCGGTGGAGTAACTGTGACGTTTTTGACGAAAGAGGATAAGCATCACCAGAAAGTTTCCAATGATGCCCACGACGGCTAGGATAAACTGCACGATCTGCCACCATGGCCAGGAAACAGGGGACCACACCCATTCTTCAGAGGACGACCTCGATGTCAGGGTACCATTATTATTGAATGTCCATTCCGTTGTACCGCTCCATGCGTCAATCGTGCCGTTCCATGCCTCAGTCGTCACATACCATGCGTCAGTCGTATTGTCCCATGCGTCAGCTGTAACATTCCATCCGTCATTCCTCGCTTTCCAAACGTCACTCTTCATTTCAGGTTCCGAACTCGTTGACATGCTAGATGCATGGACCTTAGTTGTGGTAGGGTCCACGCTAGATGTGAGTTCTCCGATTGTCACATTTGCCGTTGTTTCCACCGTGACCGTCTTTTCCATTCTCGTCAAGAACCTGTTGATTCAGAAAATGAAAAATAACAACAAAAAAATAAACAGTGACATACTCAAAATTTGTAGTGTTAAACTATCCGCTGTGTCTATCAAAATAGAAGCACACTACAAAACCAGTCTTGCCATAATTATCACTGATTATCTATTTTTTGTTTCAAAATCGCTATTCTGTCATTTCATCCCATATACAGTATATTCATGTCTCTCTCCTCCTTATTCACATTCTCTCTCTCTCTCTCTCTCTCTCTCTTTCTCTCTCCCTCTCTCTCCCTCTCTCTTTCTCTTTCTCTCTCCCTCTCTCTCTCTCCCTCTCTCTCTCTCTCTTTATGAATATACATTGTTTTGCAAAATTTAATATTTATTCAAGATTAGAGTATGCGGCTGTAAGATCAACACAACCGAGAAAAAAAATCATCAGACATTATAATATTATCAACTTTAAGTCTGATTCGGAAGGGTGTATACGTCAACACAATAGAACTGTTCGAACCCTATGAAAAAGAAGAAACAATGAAAACGCACCTAATTTAAGCGTTACTTTGAAGTAGTCTTACTTTCATTCACGATAGTATTATACTGTTTGAGAAAAAGAGGGATACAATTTGACCATGCTGACTAAATACATGTATTTTGTTGTTGTTTAGCGCTAACTGAAAATCAAAGCATGCAGAAATTGTGAAGTTTTTGTGTTCACTAATGTGTATACTAATAACCGATCAGAAACAACTATCCCGAGGAAATCGAATTTGCATACATGCAGGAAGTATTAAATAATTCTGCGGTGCAATCAATGATTGTTCGCACTCCTTAATTGCGTAAGACTGTATTTTGTTGACCTATAAATTAATGTAATTAACTTGACCACCAAGACCATCTTTTTTCAGGAGCGTAGTGGAAACCAAAACCAATCCACTTTAATATCGATCGCATCAGAGTTTGTATGAATGCAAAATTACTCTAAAAAGGGTCCACGATGAGAGAGACACGACATAAGTGCCAATCCCATGTTTAATTAAGGAGCGCACCTATGTCCATTAGTAATTATAACTGCAGAAAAAAATATATCCACTCTTGTTTATTTAAGGGATCTAGAACAGAAGGTATATTTTGTTGAATAAGGTTGTTCGAGGAGAGTGGATTTCTTAATCAATGATTATTTCCGCGAGGTAAATGGCATATCCAGATCCTTGTGTCTAGGGAGATGACTAAAACATCTGAGTTAACGGTAGTCCACGTGTTGTTAAATGGATATAATATTGATGACGAAAATTGTGATGATAATAATAACAACATCAATAATAATACTAATACTAATAATGAAAATAATAGTCATAATGAGATAGGTTTCCCGCTCAATTTAGCAATTTAGTCATTCAATTGAAAGTCAAGAGCATTTAAATTCACGATAGTTGTGGTGAGGGGTTTTCATGGACCAGTAGATCTGAGATTATATTATAAAAAAAAACAACAACAAAAAAGATGAGTATGAATTTACAAATAGTACCAAAATATAGAAGAAAAAAAAAGAAATAAAGTGAAAGGCGTAAATATTCTAAAAAAAGAATGAAACGCCGATAATACCAAACAACAACAACAACATCACCACTGCAAAATGTAATTCAAATCTATTTTCGTTCGTTCGTTCGTTCAAATTTGTTATTCATGCAACAACCTTTTCAAGTGATTCGTGTAAATTTAGATAAGGAGCATACCAATCAACAAATGGTTATACAATTTAATTTTCTCTCGTCCATTATCAGTGCAAACAAATCAAATGAATCACCTGAATTTAGATAAAGAGCATGCAATTAAGGGGGTGGGCTTTCGAAACAATTTTCCCTCGTTCTAGTAGACAATTTTATTAATATTATCAAATTAAACGTGCCACCAGGGACTTGATGTCTATCACGTCCCTGGTGCCACTTAACAAAACGTTATGCATTAAAAATGATTATAATACGACTATAGCATATTCGTTATCTTTTCAACCATTTTTTCCTTCTTCAAACGAGTCATTCACATTTTAACAAAGGAATGTACATTTTTAGAAATGTGAATCAAATTCCGTTGCCGATGACCTCGGCTTTTCTTCAGTTATTTAGATTCATTAAAAGGCAGGCATGTTCTAAATCGTTGACGACTGCATTGTGAAAGTCCCATATGCCCATTTCAGGGACAACCAGTTTCCGGTATAGGCAAAGAGTTAAATAAGTGCATTAGAAATTAAGATGCATCGCACAAGTTTTACTAAATTAGGAGTATTCATGTACATGTAGGTCTCACTTGCCCCGTCAAATTGCGTTCATGATCACGTCATACTAATAGCTCCCAATGGTCCCCTATGAAAATGAAAACAAGGATGTAAAGAAAGAAAAACAAACCTGTTCCTATTTCACCCTTCCCCCCCCCCCTCCAGGGTCGGTGAGACCGTATTCGTGTTCCCAAAATCCCCGGTAAAGCGGTACTTTTCGCGCGGCAAAGTCCGACCCGAGAATTGTAAAGAAAGGGGGTGTATTTGACTTTACACCCGGATATTTCTTTAAAAAGGTTCCTTTTTCCTCTCTCTCTCCCTCTCTCTCTCTTTGGATTCCTGGGAAATTTGAATCGGGGGTTATAAAATATCTTGAATATCATAGATAGGGAGTACATTGATCAGTGTTCCGAATTTAGGGGGTCCCCAAGACAGGAAAAGCCCGCGAAAGGGGGTTCAGAAATGTTAGCAGTCCTAAGACTTCATGTTTGTATGATCTATGTTTTTAACCGTAACAGAAGAGTGCTGTGTCTATTCTAAAGGAAATGTTATAAGAAATCATTGTGGAAGTAGGACCTACTCTGTATTTAAACATGTATCAAATATAAGATATTACTTTCATACATTGTATTAATGGGGATATGAATATAATTGTATTTTATAGTCTTACGAATATGACTTTGCACTATTTTTAAAATCTTAATAGTGCAATTAATTTATTCCATTTGTTTATTAGGAGGGAAAAAGAATCAAATATAATTCACAATCGACCGCAGCAACAAAATCGACCCCCCCCCCCCTCCATAAAAACACCTGTCACTGTGGAATTGGCCCGGCCCCCCCACTCAGGTTTCAAAATGACCGCATGCGTGTTGCCAAAATGTCCTTTTCGTAACAAAAGAAAAAGGTCGAGCCGTATTGACTTTACACACCGGACTTTTGCTGAAAAGGGGGGGATGCTGAAAAAGGCTCGTATACAAAAGAAAAAGGTCGAGCCGTATTGACTTTACACACCGGACTTTTGCTGAAAAGGGGGGGTCGGTTGGAACACGCATATGCGTACCCTAAATAACACTGAGTGGGGGGGCCGGGGGAATTGGCTACTCTCTCCGCAAGCACAGTGTGTGTGTGTGCGCTCTCACCTCAGCATTCTTGTGGGGTTTTATGTGCGCTTCACATACCCCTTGTGAGGCATTTTTACTTTGTGGGGTATTTTTTCAGGACCCCACAGAGTAAAGTCTTTCAAATGACTGTATATTCGGTGTCCTATGCCCTGCGGGGCATTAGAAGTGGTACCCCATAAATGACTTTTTGTGAGCGTGTGCTAAAACTTGCACACTTTTTTATGGTAACATCGTAAGCACACCGCCGGGTTGTTATCGCCAGGTTGTACATACCCCACTAGTAGGGGACCACAAGGTATATCTGGAACGCACAGAAATACCCCACAATCAGGTGCCCCACAAAGGCCCTGATGTGAGAATGTGTGTGTGTGTGTGTGTGTGTGTGTGCGTGTGTGTGCGGGTGTGAATGTGTGTGTGTGGGGGGGAGGGGGGTGGGTGGGTGAGTATGTGTGTGGGTGGGTGAGTATGTTTGTGTGATAGAGGGTGAGTATGTTTGTGTGATGGAGGGGGCAGGGAGGGGGCAGGATTGTTTCAGTAAAATTACCTCCAGATTTGTTTAAGTTTTTTTTGTAATATATAAGTAAATAACATTTACCATTGACATATTATGTTTAGGTACTTATACGTTTACTTTGTTGCTAAGTTATATCATACTGCAAATAAGTTTGTGTTTAATTATGTTTATGTAAAAGCATCAATATTGAACACGTTTATTTTATTCAATTGTATGTCATGGTTTGTATTACACATCTGGAGAAATAAAACAAAATTGTTTTAAAAAAAAAATTGTTTTTTTAAAGTGTTTGTGTTGTTTGTATTTTGGGCAAAGGTGTGAATTGATACTCGATTTCTGATGTTATTTGTCATAGCTTACATTCTTATTTTGTTTAAATCTTGATAAAGGATATCAATCAAACGTGCCACACACTCTTTTTGACGCACCTGTAAAAGTATGGATCTTCAATGACTGGTCCCTCAGAAACTAGTGCCGAGCCAGTCACAGAGAATTTAGGATTTCAACTGAAGCCTCTCTTCCCTTTCATCTCTTTTTTTCGAGTTTCATTTGGAAACTTTTTATATTTGATCAACATGGTGGATGGGTATATGAGCTATGGTTGGATTGGTAGTTGGAGCGAGAGGTGCGATTAAGAGCGTTGGTGTAATATCTGGATTTATCATATTCAGATTCTGAATATTTTCAACGAATTGAATCATATTGAAAAGGAGGCAATTCATAGTCGTACACATATTCTTTCTCTTTTTTGCATAAAGAAAATGTGAATATGTTAATCTGTGGCCTAAGATTGAGAAAATTTCTTTTTTTCTTTTATTATTGAACAGGGAGAAAGAAATAGGGAGGACATTAATCAAAAAGAACATTTAAGATATATGTTAATTCGTGACGGGTACAAATGCAGGGTATATTAAAATTAATTTTAGAGCGATGATTCATCAATTCTTTGACGGTGATTGATTCTTTCAAATTTACATGAATGTGGTGACTACTCGGTTATGAAGGGCAGGCTTCGATATTTACTCAATCTAGCAAACAATATGAAATCTAGCTGTATTGAATACACAGACAAGAAAGTAAAAATGTTAGATGCCAGAGTGACAACATTGAAG